ATAATCTCCCTCAGTCCCTAGGGGCGGTGGCTGAGGCCTGCTGCTTAGCTGGTCCAGCAGACTTGCCAATGTGGGAGTATTACAGAATCTTACTTCAGTAATATTATATCTACCGCAAGTAAACCTTATATACAGGGTGTGCTCAGAACATCTAAAAAGAGAGAGAGCTAAGACTCCATCCAGCTTACAGAATAGGATGTATCAAATGTTTTTGTGCCAGCTTCACTATCAAATGAGTACTGATCTCTTCCGTGAGAGGCAGAATTCCAAACACTCTCGTTCTAATTTGGTAGACTTAAAGGAGTAGCTCACTCGCCAGATCAGATTGGTCGCTTTGTTTACCAAAGTCAACAGACTTGGTGACCTTTGAAAGCAGTCCAACTGTGTGAGAAAGGCTCTTTCAGGAAATTCTCTTACAGGGGAGGTCTGTAAAAATTGCAGGTAGTAAATAATGCTTAGACCAAAGCTCTGTACCTACTGGGAACTCAAAGTATGTATGAATGAGAGAGAACAGGGACATTGACGTTGGTTTATGTAAACAGAGGAGCCAAGGTCCCGTAGGCCACATCCACTGTCTGCCAAGGGCACAGTCCAGACTAGGTTCCTGGTGGTCAGTAAACGATTAGCAAAGACCCCTTTAAAGAGAAAAATCATTGTTTAGGTCCACTGACAGAAGCCCCAGACCACAGCTTATAAGGGTTTTCAAATCAGGCATGTGCGACACTCAACGTCTGTGCACTATGTATATGGCAAGTAAAGTTATCAGGAGCAAAAATCGGACTTAAGTGTTCTTTTTAATTGATCTCTTTTTACTAGTTGCTGTAAAGTTCAAGTGACTTTATAAAACCTGAGGACCTGAGAGGAGCATCCTCCTTTGTAATTCGAGGAAACTAAGGCACTACCCTCCTGATAGCAACTGCATAAAATGTGATGTGAATTTGAGGTTCAGGATCAACTTCTTTGAGATGAATCATCTTTCAAAATCTGAATCTGCTAACCAAGTTGAGGAAGTGGCAACAAATGTCACGTCATATATGAGGTCTGCTGCAGGGTTCCTTAAATAAAGAACTCTTCAAGCTCGTGTATTGACAGACCACTGAGAGATGGGCTGAAAAACTAGAGGAACCAAGAGTTAGAAGCAAACATTGCTTAGGCAGGGTTGAAGTTGATGGGCACATGGAATTAGACTTTTATACTATTCTGAAAAACAAAGTCACATTAATTTGGCTTTGGAATACTACGATGACTTATTCAGAAATGGTCATGTTTAATGCCACAAAATTTCACAACATTGTCACAACCTGAAGGTCTGCAAACTGCTCGTCCATCTTGCATTCCAATCCTAACCTCTCTCCACACTGGACACAGGGCTTCGGTTACTATTGAGATGGTTCACACATTCCCTCCACCCCACCAATCTCAAGGAGGGAACTCTTGTAAAAAACTGTCTAGTTTTAAAAGAAAGAGCACAGACAACCATTACCTTTGCCAGCATTACCATCAACTTTTGCATATAATTCTGGGAAAATTTCATACCTAGTGTTCTATTTTTTCTGCACATAAGTGTTGCTTGTGCCCCCGAAACTATGCATGCAAATAATTAAGAAACACAACTGATATCTGATATACATATATCAAATATTGCTGTGGGCCTTTTCTCTACAAAACTGATACGTTTGCTAAACAACTTTTAGCACCCACGCCATCACACTTGGATAGATTTCTAAACGTGCCTGTATCACTAGGCTGTGACCACCACATCGGACTCCACCGGCAGTGGACTTATTCTATTTGTGATGAACACTTTCAGTTGCAGAGACCCCATTCTGAAGACCTTTTTTTTCCAGACACCTCCTACCCTACCTTCTCCATAGTGTTCTCCTCTATACCCCCGCCCCACTGTCTTATTTGTCCTTAAACAGAGCTATGAACTACTGAGTTTGTGCCTATCCCAAGAGCCATGGAGTAAAATATATGAAGGAAACGGAACATCTGCTGTGAGAGGCCCAGCTTTGTTTCGGACACTAAAGCTTTGACCCATCGAGAGAACTCTGGACCCAGTACCTGTCTTTTAATTGTGGCTCACAGATCAAAAAAAATACAATAGGCTTGGTAACATTTGAAAATGTTAGTATATTATCGCAATTTCAAATATTGAGAGGGGAAAAGGTGGGGGGAGATGAGATAGATTTTTGTGTTCCTTCTGTTATTCCTCATAATGTAACCGCTATCCTAAACTTCATTTCTCTAGGGGCCACAGGGAGAGGAGCTTCCTCTTATTTTGCCTGAGTCTAATTATAAACGAAGTAAGACTTCACTATTCTGTTAGTAGCAAACCTAGGTTCTAATTCCATGAAGTTTTTAAACAAAACAATGCAATCTAAATGCAAAACAAATACAAAGATTTCACTGTAGCCAACCATAGAAAGTGTATCTTATGATTGCAGCAATGAAAGAAAGCACAGCTGTTTCTACTTGTTCAGAGTTGAAAAAGTTTAGGAAAGTAAATGAATGAAAAACAATCCGAGGAAGTCATGAGGCAGATTCAACTATCTCAAATTCTAAATTCCATTATTTTCTGTGATTAAATATCGAGGACAGTGATGCCCACGGATATTATTCTAATAATCATAGTTTAACAAGAGTTACTTTGGGAATCTTAAACACACTGCATATTCCATTCCATAAATTAAATAAAAAATGGAAACAAATATAGTTTTAAACATTTTCTGTAGGTCTTATTCTTCATTGTAAATTTTGGCTCTTTATGAGTCAAGAAATTAAACTTTTTCCAGAGTACCTTGAGCGAAAGACACAAATTATTTTCAAACAGGAAGCAAAGACACACACTGTAGAATATTTACAAACTTATATCCTAGACACTCACAACTCAACAAAACAAAAACCTCTCAAAATTCAGGATATGGTCCTTAGAAATTTGAAGCTATAGCCAAAATAAACGGTATATTTCGATTTTGTCTCCTCTCCATCCAAGTCTTTGAAACTTATTTTTATTCAGTAGTACATCCAATAAGATGTTGATTCAGAAACTAAAGAAAAAGGACACAAGAATTTGAAGGGCTTAAATGTATTTTTATATTGATATTCTGTGTCTTTCTACCCTAATACATTATTATTGATTACATACAGGATGAGGTGAGGTATTTGTAAAATATCTTGTAAAAAATAATTAATATACAGTATTCTACATGAGATGGAATCTTACGGACCTTCGGGTCTTTTGAAGTGTTAAATTGATCATCTAAATTAAACTGCCCTGAATGGACTTACAGTTGTTTCCAAAAACCATGTTAAAAAATGAAGGATCTTACATTTTCCCAGAATTTGTGCAGAAATGGGAAAGCATATTAATTGGCAATTTCTATTTCTCACATCCAAAGTAATGCATTCACACAAAACCAGGATTTCCATGTTTAGCATAAAAATAAAAAAAATGGATTAGAGATATAAAATCTCTGAGTAATGATTAGTCTAATTCACCAACACCAAAGAAATTCAAGTGGTCAACAGTCTTGAAAATGCTTTATTGAAATGTGTGACTTATGTGCAGAAGATGTGTTTGAAAAGACCACAGCTTGAAAACTGGTTTTTGAAACTTCTCAACAACCAATTGAAAAAAAGAAAATCCTTACTGGACTTCGACTTCTAGTATAACCAGAAGCCTGGTGTAAAATTTTCCTTTAAAACATTTTCCATTACAGAAACTAAAGAAAACAAAGCTATCATATTTGGAAATCGTTGGAGTCTGAAGTTTCAGAGGAGAAGCAACAGTTTTTCAGACATGTAGGGTGACTTCTTTTTTGGTTACATTTGGATGAACATGGACTTCACAGTTCTCGGAAGAACACCGGAGAGGTGTTCAAGTCTGTATGCTTGTCGTGTTGAAGAAACGGAGAAACACAGACAGGAGAGGAAAAGGAAGACAGGAGAAAGAGAGGAGACTGAGAAAAGGGCTCAGAGAAAAGAGAACTGGAACGAGACATGATTAGGTTAAGTCTAGTTATAAATTTATCAGAAGCTGTGCGCACCTTTTTTAAAAGTCCTAAATTTACATTCCAAAAACTGTCCCCCCCAGCCCCCAAACCTGCTGTCCCTGCCTTGGAGCTATTGTGAAAGTCTATGCACTGAAACAGGAAATAAAAAATAACCCGGCCCTTGCAAACCCCAAAACAAACCCAAAAAAGGCTGTACATTTTTTTTTTTTACACATAGAATTAATAATATAGGCATATAGGTGGCATGATTCAATTAAAAGGCTTTACTTTTTATGCCAGAAAAAAAACCCAATAAATAAAAGGTGCTAAAGTTAGCATTAAGAATTTGGTTGTAATATATTGACAAAATCTGGGAAGGCAAATCCTCAAAGCTCCCCTGATACTGATCTGTCTCAGCAAACTACAAAGCAAATACATAAATAATGCAAAATATGATTGAGAATGTGAGATTTTTAAAAACAAAGACAACATAATTCAGGTTAACTCTGTTGAACAGTGAATAAATGAAATTCATCTACACCTGAATAAAACATATTTAACAATTGAAAAAATTTAAACAACCACAAAAAGTAAAAACTTTAAACAAACATGAACAGGATTTGTTTTCAGGGCACACAAACGCCCCTGCAGCAGATTCCAACAGTAGCTGTACTGGTGTGTCTTCTATAGATGAGTTAAAAACACAGGCTGAGCTCCACACGGGCAAGATGACTAACAGGGCGACAGGACAGTCACAAAGGGCGGAGTGCCACACCCGGCTACAACCCCCAGATTCCACTGCAGAGCTGGCTTTGTGCGTAGGAGGCACACAAAGAAAGGTGATTCAGGCAGACATTATTCAAAAGCTACTTTGTCCTGTAACCATTGAATAATGTTTGGGAAAGCTTTGGGCTTTGTTTTTTAAGTTTTACTCCTTGTATTTAATTTTTTTAAATAACAAGGTCACTAAAACTCATGCACGCTGCAAAAAACCTCATGCAGTAGTTAAGGTAAACCATCCAAGCAGTTTTTATTCATTAATATTCATAAATACACACAGCAGCTTCATTAGAGATTTCAATTTTCCTCTTCAGTTTGAATGTGGAGTATTAGGAGAGCCTTTTGCATGTCAAGGTACAGGAAGCAGAGATCACCCCTGCACTGCTACCTACATTTACCTGCTAGAAGTAAAAATTAGTTAAGTGGAAATGATTATCATATATATTTTCTCTCTTCCTTTTGAATGTACACAATGTAACAAGAGTGACAGACCTGAAATTACAATCACCAAACAAACCCAAGATAGTTGTTGTCCACTTTCATTGGCAAATACAGCACAGAGGACATTGTCTGCGAATTGGGATGTCATCAAAGAGGAGGTGGTGGAGGCTCATTTCCTTTATTACTCTCTTTTAAATTTAGGTTTTCTAAAGCAACATCTAAAGGCATAATATCTACACAGCCCATAGCACCAAAATCTGCCATCTCCCCCCGTTCATCCTCGTCTGAGGACGAGCTCTCTTCGCGCACTAAAGTGGACAGAAGGAGCTCCTGGACAAACAGGCTGCGGTCTGCACGCTCGCTTTCCATGGACTGGCGCTCTGTTTCGGACATTTTAGGATCATTCAACCTGTGTAAGTTAAAAAGAAAAGACTTTATTAGTAAAAAGTAAAAAACGATGGCATGGGCAATTTCTATCATGTTCACCACTCCTGCAAGCTTTATGGGTAGCAAGATTCAGAATCTGAGACCTAACGCTGAAACGCCTTGCTCTAATTTATCACCTTAATTATGTTGAGATGAATTCCCAACACTTGCAGCGATACTGTCAGCCTGAGGTGCAAATCTATGCTTTAATTAGATTCAATGAGAAAAAAAACAGGACTTCTCCCGCACTTCCCAGAGAAAACTGGGTGAAAATTTTTCTGAGGAAAACAATATTTCTAACAGAGTAGGTATCTGGAAAAGTAGTTATTTCCATAACCGGAATTTCTCCTGTGGATAAGTGAAAAGAGTAGAGTAGCAACTCTGTTCACAAAAACAAAATCTGTAGTGACCAAAATATTCAGAGAAAAATCCTAAAATTTCTTCTAACTTTTCTGTATCAAATTCCTCCTGGAATTGAAGGTATGTCCAGAAGCTAGAGAGGGCAAACGCACGCACGCACACTCTCTCCTACACTTCTCCTATCAAGAACCTGCAGTGCAGCAGGGCAGATGTGAGGTCTACCTGCCTGCTGTGCTCGCCTGACGTGTGCACTTAGGAGATCTGGGCTATGCTGGGAAACCTGGCTCATCTGCATAGATTGGACAGATGTTAAGAGTTGAAAATTCTACTTACTACTTGTTACTAAACTTGTTAAATGACTTAAAAATGTCAATCTCCAACAAAAAAGTAAGCAAAATTTTGCTTAGTTTCAATACTGATTTTATTTTTCTACTCTTTTAGTGACAAAGAAGGAAAGGGAAACTAGCAGGAGCACGTGGGTCAGGAAAAGTGACACAAGAGGAGAAGACGGGGACAGTGAGAGGAGGCCCAGCAGGCACACATGCTTCTTGGTACCCAAGCCCAGAGACAGATCTGCCCTATGCTTCCCTACTGACCATCACCTGCTCCCTGCTGTCCTACCAACACTGCAAGGCAGAGGAGCATCCCAAGTCATCACGGACAATACTGTGGATCAGGCTCTAACTGCTTTTTGTGTGCATTAGCTCTTTTAAACTCGATGAATTGGGTACTATTATTATCAACATTTTATAAGAAGAGGAAACTGAAGCAGAGGTTAAGTAACTTGCTCAAAATCTCATAGCGGTTAAGTTCAAAATCACTGAATGATTACATCTGTGGCTCAGAAAACAAAAAAATCTAAATTTCAAAACTTAAAGAAAAAAATATCTGGAAGGTAATTACATAAAAGCCATTAAATCCACGTTGAAAGGAAATGACCAATTACATTTATAGTTAAAACCAAATTAAGAATCTAATGCAACAGGAGATGGGGCAGTAGGCTACGTATTCTCATTTCAAAATGATAAAAACATTAAGAACTGAAGTACATTCCACGTTCTTAGCTTTGGAAAGGCCTTTGGTAAAGAAAACAAAAACAAAACTAGAAGTCAAACTCATTACAGAAACATAAAGGGTGTAGTATAGAAGATGACCCACATAGTAACGAGGCAAACTGGAAACACACAGGCAAAGGCCTTCGCCCTCTGGAAGAGCATACGATTCCAGTATTACTGTTTTGATTTTCAGAGAAATAACTGAGAAAACACCTCATTCCTCAGGGAGAGATAAAATCTGGTACTGGGACTTCATTTCTTGATGGGCCAAACTTCACTGGGATCTAAAAGGAACTGCAAAGCTTGCGAGGTTCTTCAAACTGTGATTAGCAAAAATGAGCCGGCTCCATTTTCAAAAGACTGGATCTGACTTAGACACTTAAAGAATCATTTTCCAAAAGGTCAACTATCTTGGATCCCAAAGAAACTGTATCCTAGGACACGGTTCTAGGACAACACAAATAGGAACTGTCCCTGGTCAATGAAGAGACCAAAGATAAGGCTCGAGCCCTACATATATCACATAAGAGCTGTGTGACCAGAGATCAGGATTTCCCCTATACACATTGCAGCTGCTCTCCTTGCCCTGAAAATTTACAAGGCATGTTAATATATTTGAAGTTGTGAGAAGCCCAATAGTAAATAAACTATTTTTTTACTCCATTTTCCCCAACCTGATTCATCAGGGGGGAAAAAAAAGAGTATAAATAATTACATATATTCCTTTGAATATATAAAATTGCAGGGGATATTTTTTGGGAAATATTGCCTTAGATAAATCATATGAGTATGACTAAATGATACAGCAAAAGATGTGGAAAGTGGTCTGCAAATGGCAAGGTACTATGCACTGTACAGTATCAGATGACAGAAGGGGGCCTTCAAGAAGCTATAACCAGAATCCAAGGAGAGCACTGAGGCCACCCACACCATGCCCTGGGAGCTGGGTGTCTAGTATAGAGGAAGTGCACAGAAAAAACACAGGTCAAGCCCACCAAATAGTTTGGGGAACAAAACAAAAATAAATAAATGAATAAAGAATATGGCAAGGGTAAGAAGACATCTTTTCCAAAAGACACGGGCAAGACATTCCATATAGTTCCCTGAACATCTCAGCAGATATGCACATTAGTTGATCTCATTTTTTGAGTCAAGTGCTGAGCTCTTGGAAGTTATAGGCCTGCTGTTGGTCAGTCCCTATAGATAAGGCCACACGGCAGCGGGTAGATCAATTTGGTGGCTCTGTGATTTCTTTATGCTAAAGCAACATTTTCTGGTAATAACAAGGCATGGTTACTGACCTTGCAGAGATAATTCAAAGGTAAATTCCCCACTTCGAACTTCTTCCTCAGATCCGTAACAAATGATAATAATGGGCACCATTAATTGGGCCTTTACTGTATGCCGGATACTGAGCCAGACCATACACAGACCAGTATTCCATTTAATCCTTAAAATAATTCTCTAATAAGGCAAAACTCCTGGGATATTGATGATAAAACTGAGGTCTGCAGAAGTGTAATGACTTGCCTTAGGTCCAAAACTAGTAAGTGGCAAAGCTGGGCATTTAGACCAAGTGTCCTCAAACACTTTTTATCCTGCACTCACAAAATGTTATTTCCAACTATACACATGTACCACTGTACTAACAGATATTAAAAAGTATTAGATCAAAGAAATATAAATAGAAATTATAATATTTTAACATTCTAATAAATTGTCATATACACTGCGTTTTGGAGATAATGATATATTACACTAATTTTCTTCATTTTACAGTTCTTACTTTATATTCCTCTCTGTTCCATTAAAAGCCCAAATTAGCCCAGGTTCACTATCTATTTAGCCTATGTGTCTACTCACCACTGGTTACTCTTTTAAAAATTCTTTATATTCTTAAAAGTCACATAAAATGCCTATGAAGTTTTGGCAGAAGAATATATTCAGTTGCTTACAGTAGTTTTAGAAGCAAGTAAGAACTCTACTCCATCTAGCGGAGTAGTTTACTGTGTATACTAAATATTATTTACACCATGGTAAACCATTTTTTTAAACAGCTACTTTTGTGTGCCGACCCTATGAATTTAAGTCCAGCTTCTTTAGAAATTCTCAGGAGAAAACCACTATATTTGAAAACCATTGTATTATGATGTCTTCTTTGTGCCTTTTAATATTTCACAGCAGACTGAAATTGGCAGTAAAAATTATGATAATACATGCACCTCATATGACCCATATATATAAAGACATGGTGTTTAAGTTTTATGGGTAGTATGGGAAAAGAAATTCATATTAGATGATGATATATACCTTGAGAACAAGAAGACCAGCATTCTTCATTTACCTAAAATAATTACTATTTTTCATATTCTTGGGGAAATATTGAATATGCAGTTTTTATCAGATCTGTGAGTCTTAACAGTTTGATCAAATGCAGAGTTTTAAGGAAATACATATGCACCAAACAGAAAAATTATTTCAGACTACATGGGGCCAATAAAATATTACTTCTCAAACAAAATTATAATAATAAACAAGCTACCTTGTTAAAAGAAACTGGGAATTCTGGAGAGTTTGCTGACTGCTTTCTGTATTAGCTATGTTGGTTGTTGCTGTGGATTGTGTGATTGTAGTGGTGACACTGCTTGTGTTGGTACGCCGGTTTGCGTTGCGTGCCGTCTCCAGTTGTTGCCGTGCTGCCTGGGCATGCTGCCGTTCTAGCTGCAGCTGCATCTGCAGCTGTTGTAACTGAGAAGCGGAAGGGCCAGAAGAATTAAGCTGTCCTCCTGCAGAACGTCTCACTCCTGATAACTGAGATAAAAGCTCTGCCAATGGAAATGAAGGTATAATTAATGTCTACTTAATGCTGAGGAAAACAAAATGCTACAGGATCATTCTTTTACTGGAAGAAAAAGCGTCATGCATGGTAGGTACCCACAGCAACATACAGTTTCAGCTAAGAGTTCAGTATCTTTTAGAATGCCTCCTAGAGGCAGGAGTTATTGTGTACAGAGAACGCAAATACATATGAATATTAATAATTGTATGTGGACACAATTATTTTTGCTTTAAGAAAAACTTAACAGAGATTGTTTTAAAAATTATTTGTATAATAGACTAATTTAGTTATACTTTCTCTTAGCATTTAATGGATTAAAGTGGTTCATCTATGGGTCTAATCATATTAGTCTACTCAATATGAGTTCCACGGAAGCAGGGATCAGGTCTACCCTGTGTAATATACTCCTAGCTCTTAGAACAGGGCTTGACATATAGCAGGAATTCAAACATTTATTAAATGACTGAAATGAATGGTTAGGATTAAATCCAAGAGGCCTGGATCAGTTCTAATTGTGGTCCTTGCACACTCGCCTCTGCCTTCTCTCTGGTACTTTCTGGTACTGTTGTTTCAGAGTATCACTTCAGTGAGTACCACTAGCAGTGCTCGGTAAGGCTGGTTGGCTCCTGGGGCACCTGACTGTATAGCCTATTTAGTGGCCTGTTATGATCCAGACTGTCTTGTGTCAATAAGGTTGTACTCATCAAGAGAGATGTAAACTTTGGCCTTGAGTCTTTATCTAAGTAAGGTGCAGTAATTGTTTCCTCTCATGTGGAGGGTCTACCTAGTTTACAGGGAATTGACGATTGCCTTGCAGATGTTCACAGGCCAACAAACACTCTATCATGGCTGGGTGTAGTGGTGCATGCCTGTAATCCTAGCACTCTGAGAGGCCAAGGTGGGGAGGACTGCTTGAGGCCAGCAGTTCTAGACCACCCTGAGCAACATAGCAAGACTCTTTTTTTTTTTTTTTTGAGACAGAGTCTCACTGTATTGCCTGGGCTAGAGTGCCGTGGCGTCATCCTAGCTCACAGCAACCTCAAACTCCGGGGCTCAAGCGATCCTCCTGCCTCAGCCTCCCGAGTAGCTGGGACTACAGGCATGCGCCACCATGCCCGGCTAATTTTTTCTATATATTTTTAGTTGTCCGATTAATTTCTTTCTATTTTTGGTAGAGACGGGGTCTCCTCTTGCTCAGGCTGGTCTCGAACTCCTGAGCTCAAACAATCCGCCCGCCTCGGCCTCCCAAAGTGCTAGGATTACAGGTGTGAGCCACCGCGCCCGGCCCCTGCAAGACTCTGTCTTTACAAAAAAACAAAAAAATCAGCTAGGTGTGGTGGTATGTGCCTGTAGTCCCACCTATCTGGGAGGCTGAGGTGGGAGAATCCTGAGCTCAGGAGTTGGAGTTACAGTGATTATGATCATGCCACTGCACTCCAGCCTGGGCGACAGAGAGACCCCATCTCAAAAAACAAAACAAAAAACCCCAACAACAAACTCCGCCCCCCCCAAAACCTCCGAAAACACTCATTAACGGGGTAAACTTCTATTTTCTTGCTCACTGTTGCTTTATCCCAGCGTTCTTATACCACTCTCTCCTGGAATATATAGTCCATCACTAAAATAAACTAATTTTCACTGACAGAAAAAAATCAAAGTAATGAAGAGAATTTCTCAATTTGAATGTTGCTCCCAGAAATACTTTTTAGAGCTTGCTACCAAAAATAGTACGTAAATATTCCCTTTGGATGAAGAATATTTTTTTTTTTTTTTT